TTCATTAAAACTGGAGATGGGACTGTAAGGTAAGAGTCCACATAGTGGACTTTGGACGTTTAGTGGATGCTCATCAGAGGGGAACCGATAGCTAACATTTAACTAAATCAACCTGTTGAGTTTTTTTCCTTTTTTTCCTGTTTTCCATCAACTCTTTTTAATCTAAAGATGTGTATTTTAAATTAACCTGGAGTTAATTGACTGAGTTTACCCTGCATGTTTTATTTATTGTTTCTGTTTTGAACTGTAGTTTTTATAGTTTGTTTTTCTAATCCTTCAAAAAAGACAGTAAACAGAAACAACAATACAGATAATTACAGTGTAATTTCACTATTATTTCTATATCTGTGTCAATGGTCTATCTACTCTTTACAGAACCCATACATTGTGTTTCTGTCTGTCAAAGGGTGTTGTATGCTGTACGGATTGTAAAGCCCTTTGGTGCAAATTTGTGAAATTGGCTATATGAATTGATTATATAAAAATAAATATTATCAACTTTTTGATGGACTAACATGACTATGGATCACATTGCTTCACATCTATTCAGGCACTTTCAATGCACAACCTGAATTTACCATCATACCATGCCATACAATAATTATATATATTTAATTTCAGTCCTTAGTGCAAAGTTGCTCAGTTTTAATCCTGATTTACATTTATCATTCCCTTTCATCAAAGGTACAGCTGCATGACCCTGGATGTTTCCTCCTGGGAGAGAGATGGAGAACAGCTCTCATACACTGCCACCCTTGTCACCATGTCCTACCACTTTCGGAGTGTCCCTGCCTTTCTCCTCGTCTCCGCAGCAGACCTGTTTAAATGGCCGTGTTTCACTCCCACTGTCACCTATTTCATTTCCTCCATCCCCTACCTCACTTTCTCCAGCAACAGCAGAGTCTTTTCAGTCTTCCTCCCCTCTTTCACATTGCACAGCATCTCAGTGTCTCGAAGGACAAAACATACAATGTCTCAGTCCGGCAAACACATCTGACCAAGATGACCTGACCTGCCTCAGCTGGCTGCATCAGAGGGGCGACCTGTTACCTCTGCAGCCCCTTCCCAAAATGATACCACTGCCTCAGCTAGAGTCCTCCGCACTTACCCAATCTCTTCCTCCTGCCTCGTCCAAGCCACCGTACTCCTTCAGCAGTCTGATTTTCATGGCAATAGAAGATTCATCTGGCAAGAGGCTTCCGGTGAAGGACATCTACGAATGGATTGTGAACAATTTCCCCTACTACAGGACAGCCTCTGGGGGCTGGAGGAACTCTGTTAGACACAACCTGTCCCTGAGCAAGAGCTTCCGCCGCATTCAGAGGGACAAGAGCCAGGTGGGGACGTGATTCACGTTCAACACATTAAGAGCAACCAAGTCATGTAGTGAGTCATTGTGCTTAAAATATAGGACAGAGGTTCAAGCATCCTATTAAAATGTCCCTGAGCAACACACTGAATCCAGATGTGTTGCTCTGTCAGATAAGATAAGATGTTCCTTTATTGATCCCCCTACAGGGAAATTTACATTGGCACAGCAGCACATGGGAACGTAGTGCAAAGAGTAAGAAAGAGAATAAAATACAAGATATTCAGGCAGCAATTAACTGCCCTACAGGGAAATTATTATAATGTACTCCACATGTGCTATAGTTCTTATAGTCTCATTGTTGATTAAAACAAACATCTTTGCTGCTGCAGTTTGAATGTTTCAAAGTGGTTTTGAATATTTGTTTCAGTCAGTGGGGAAGGGATCGCTTTGGTGTGTGTGCCCGGAGTATCGGCCGGCACTCCTCGAGGTGCTGAGGAAGACCCACAGTTATCACAGCACCAATCTGATTAACAAGCCTGCACTGTGAGTATAATCACACAGTTTACATATTCTATTCATCTCTAACTCCATAAATTCAACGTTTGTCTCAACAGCTGCCAGGAATTCCAATTAACTGATTATCATAGGGTATTAAATTAACAAAAAGTAAAGAGCTCCTTAAATCTGTGACACTGGGAGTTAGAGTTTGGTGGATACATTTTTGTTGACTGACTCTTTGTCAGATAATAGACAGAAAGTCAATACTAAGTATTAGTTCGTGATAGGATTAGTTGGTTAATCAATTACTTGAAATTACTTCACAACTATTTTGATAATCGGTTATGTCACTTATCTGAGGAAACATTTTCTGGGACCAGTTTCTGATGTGAGAATTGACTGCTTTTCACTGGTTTTTTTTTATAAATTTAATTTTAATATTTTTGTATTTTGGACTATTAGTTGGACAAAACATTCAATTTAAAGACTTTTTGTTTGGCTCTTGAAAATTGCAATGGGCATATTTCACTGTTTTCTGTTTTTTTATAGATAAACTGATTGATTACATGGGAATTTGTATTGGTTGCAGCACCACATAATATTTCTTCACTCAGCATTTCTGAGTATTCTTGTGTTGATTGAGTTGTTTTTTCTGTTAATACAGTACATTTTTCTCTATAGCATTTTAATGACAATATCTTACTGAGGTGTATATGTAAGAAAAACAACTATATTTACATATTTCTTTACTCTAACTATCTTACCATGTTGTGTGCAGGTTGGAAGGAGCTGAATTTGGGGTGCCTGCAGTGTGCGACTCTTTGGAGATCTCAGGTTAGTGATGGTGGCTCACGTCACTTAATTATTAGCACAAGAACTTACATATTCAACCCTTTATGAATTTCTTTCAGACTACAATATTTTATCAATGGAGTAACAGCTCTCTGTGACACTTTTATTACCTGCAGCTTTTCTCCTGCTCTGCGGCTTTCTCAGCATGCAACATTGTTCCTGTGTTTGTGTTCCGTTGCCGTGGAAACAACCTTCTATTGCCTAGGCAACCGAGCAATAGCCTAGCTTAGCCCCCTTTTTATGTGCCCTCGTTTTAATTTCCGAGCCTATGCGCTATATGTGCACACATGCTCATTGAAGAATCTGACAAGTGGTTGTTCAACCAGCCAAGTTATCAATATTAATGACCCATTTTCTGCTTGAACACTGTCGTTTCCTTCCTTTTTTGTTTTTGTTTCTCATGCAGATCCTCTTTCTCAGACCCTCCTCCTCTCACCCTCACCCCAAACCTTAACCAATGATAACCCAAATTTCTCTGAAAACCCACCGTGCCCTTTGACCCCGGACCACGAGGAGCTCGTCACCATGGAGTCGATTGATTACCAGCAGGAGGAGGTCAGCGAGGAGATGGAGAAGGATCCCCTGTCGGACAGCGGGTACATCGAGTTACACTATTATCAGTCTCACCAGTACCAGTACCTGGTGCTACCGGGTGACACCGAGCTGGACCTGGAGACCGTGGAGATCCTTCAGCTCGATGCTGAGGCCCAGGAGGCTGCTGGGTCACTGCTGGACCTAGCAGGCGGAGGATATTAATGTTATATCCTGTTTAACAGTCACAACTGATGCAATGCTTCAATCCACTATAAGCAAATACCCCAACAAACCAACATAAATGGGGATTTATGTTATGTTTAAAATTATGACGTTTGGCAAACCGACTGCCTCTTCCCGAGATGTTGACACTGCCCTAAGGCTTGCGTATTGTTTTGTAGTTAGGTAAAAATATATATAATCAACTTTTTGATGGACTAACAAGACTATGGATCACATTGCTTCACATGTATTCAGGCACTTTCAATGTACAACCTGAATTTACCATCATGCCATACTATACAATGAATAACCTGGACAAAGACTGAATAATGTGGACAAAATCAAAGTATTAAAAGAGTATAGTCTTCAATGCAGTAAGATTTTTAGGTTTTCCACTGTGATTTTGTAACACATTATGTTCATTCTCAGGGGTGGAAGGAGTGTTTCCAACTCTACTGTGTCTTCATTAAGATGTTTCCCAAGTTAGAATAAGATTGATAAAGCACTAAAACCTGTACAAGAGAAGTACAAAAATAGCTCTTTCGAGGAATACACTGACTCATATTCACACTATTACCATTTCAATATTACTTTGTCTTAGCAACCAGTTCTTCAAAGTGGTGACCATCTTGTCTTTATAAGAAGGGTTATTTTATGAGGAAATAAAGCTTTCAAAACAAACTTCAGTCAAATATCTTGCCCCTCAACATTGTTACTGTAGCCTATTCTAAGAAAATGCTGTCTTTCTTAAAGTAGAGTATATTTAATTTATGATGTAGTTTTGATTGTAGATTGCACTCAAAAAGTGTGAAAGCACTACTCGGTTACAATAATATGCGTACTTCCGATTCTATTTCTAATTCATTTCTTTACACCCATCTTCATTCTTCAGATCATGTTTGTTAGAGTTGATTTTATCTAAATGACGTCATGTTACAGCATCCCTGAATGTTTTTCAGCTTTCTCTGAATTTGAAAACGTAGACATGACATTGTAAGATAAGCTACGCTGCTTAAATCAGGAAAAGTTTTGATTTAGAGTTGAAATGTAAGATGAACTCACTGCCATTTAAACCACTTTACATTTCAGGGTACACTGAATTTGTTTGTAAATTATATGTATTTTCAAAAGCTTCAGATTTTGTAATCTAACAAATAAAATGTGTCATGCAGTTCTTGTGAATTGAAGTTTCGTGTTGTTTGCATCACAATTTGTTATAAAGGCAGTTTTCCATCATCTATGGAAGCTTGTTTGTGTTTGTACGAGTTTCACCATCAGAGGGCGTACCAACCACAGCCTCCTCCCAAATACAGTCTGCTGCACGTTTACATGGTATGTCCTCAAACAAACACCTGTTGCTAAGCTACGATGTCTTTTTCATCCGCGGAAGTTTTCAAATATGATTTTAATATACGCAAAACACCTAACGTCTGTTTTACATTACTTATACGGTAGTTCCGTACTCGTAACTTTTACATTAAAAACTAAATTTCCCATGGGTATGAGGCCGAGTTGTCATGTGGGTAACGTAGTTCGTAGAGAGCCTAAAGCACAAACAGGAAATGACAGCAAGACTACATTTCCCGTGCGGCGTTGCGCGAGCTGAACGCGGAAGTGTGCGAGTTTTTCGTGGTGGAAAAAAGTTCTCATTAGTTGTTTTCATGCCAGCATAAAAAAACAGTCACGTTTCGTTTCTCGACTCTGGTGAGATTGTGTTGAAGCCATTTGAAGACACCAAAGGTAACATTACATTAAGCACAGAGGTGTGTTATTGTGACTGTAGCTACTTTTTAAAAAAAATATTGCTGCATCGTTATTTTAACACTTCGTTTCCCGTTTGTGTAACAGATAGTTAGCCTCTTAACGTTACTGTCTGAGAACATGGAGACATATGAGCTGTTCGCTACAGCCACTAGCTAGTATGATATTCCGTCAATATGTATGGGGTTTAGTGGGCTATTGATCCACGTTGACGTTACAGGTCTGTTGATCTTAGTGCCAGTGTAACCATCGGCGCTGTCAGTAGCTAGCACCGAGCAGCGGTCATTACAGAGAAACTACTGTACAATGGAGTGGATATCAGGCGGTACGTGCTCACAACGAAGTGCAGGCAGATTATAAAATATGGGTTTGCTGCAGACTTTTTTTTTTTTTTGGTTGCTTTATTGCATCAACTCGGTCCAACACACCTACCTCCCACAAATGCCTGGTATGATAATGCTGGGTGCCACACCTTTATGGGGGTGTCGGGTTTTTGGTGAAAGGAGAGAACGAGCTTTGGGTATTATAACCAAAGATAAACTGTTATGAAAGCACCTCCCTGTCTACTTACTCATCATGGGAGGAGAGGAGGGCCTCTTCCTCAGAAAGCAACAACAATGAAGGCCATTGAAGAGGCTAACCTGAGCAGTGTATGGGAGAGCATGCTGAATCCACTAGCTGGAGGCAAAGCAGCGTGACACCCATAAGAGTCTCCCACAGTCGGCTCTACACAGAGACAAATATTGTGTCTGATGGAAAGATCAGTGCATGACTGATTTTTCTGTAGGCTGGAAAGAGGATCAGTTGCATGGCTTTAGCACAGTGATGTCTAAGGAATTTGACCTTTAGGCATATAACTAATGGTTGTTGTCATTATTGATTAATCTATTGATTATTTTTCCATTCCATTTTCCAGTTTTCTTCTGACCACTTAATTTTGAATGATTTCTGTTTTTGTGATGGACAGACATGGAAAGTTATTATGAAGTTTTAAGTTTTTATAGCAACTTAAAAAGAAGGAAAAACCCGACTCCAGTAGTTACCAATTATTTTTATAATCAGAAGAAAGGAACACTCTAAAGATTCACTATTCCCAGTGTGTCAAATGTGTTGATTTGCTGCTTTTCTATGCTTTATATCACTGTAAATTTATATTTGTCAGGGATGTGGACGATTAGTTGTTACCTTGGACATTTTTCACTTTGTGTGAAGTTAAAGACACAATTCATAAAAAAAATTAACATATTAATTAATATATTCCAGTACTAATATCAAACCAATGTTTTCTTATCTGTGATATTCACAGGGACCAGTACCTCTTAAGAATGGGGAGTGAACCAGGCCCAGTTCAGATCGTCACGGTGTGTAAGGAGGATCACTCTTTCGGTTTGGACACGGAGGCTTTGTCTCGGGTTCTGTTGGCACCTGAGGTCCGAGACAAACATGTGGTGGTGCTGTCAGTGGCTGGAGCCTTCAGAAAGGGAAAGAGCTTTCTGCTGGATTTTATGCTCCGTTACATGTACAGAAAGGTGAGTCACACTGTAACATGATCTTTCAGTGTCAGACATTATGTCTTACTCCAGTATCTGTCTACAGTACTCAGAGAACACTTAACTAAAGAGGACTTATTTGATGCTGAAATATTATCATGGCAACTAATGACTGCTTTACAGCGGGTAATGCTGACTAGTTCATCCTCCTGTGTTGAAGGTGTGATAGTCTGGAATATAACTATCAGTCTTGAAAACTTATGTAATGTGCAGTCATTCCACATGACCGCCCATCCCTGCTGTAACATGTGAACTAACAAGTTTAGTCAACAGAAATTAAACATATAGTCATTGTCTTCATTAAGGAGTGGAGTCTATGTGAAATCACTCAAGTTTGTTTTATGTACATATCTTGCATAACTAACCTAATCCTTGGCATTGCATTTGCTGGGTTCATTGATAAATCTTATTGATTTTGGTAACCTTTGCTGTAAGGCCACCATCAGGCTCAATGTTGGCTACCACTGAATCTTTTTGACATCTGCACACTGCTGTCAATATAGTGAACTGTGGGGATCATTTTGACCTGACTGAGGTCCACATTCCACGTAGGACTTTTTGTTGTTGTAATTTATGTAGAACAGCTGGAGTTTCTATTAACAATTGCTGCTGCATTCTTCAGAAATGAGAGTCATGTTTCAATTTTTGAATAAGGAAGAAGGTTTTTTATACACAGTTGTTTACAGAAGCCCCAGACTGATCTTGAAAGTGTAATTTGTATTTCTGCAGGGTGATGAGAACTGGCTGGGTGAGGATGATGAGCCGCTGACTGGATTTTCTTGGAGAGGGGGTTCAGAACCAGAGACAACCGGCATCCAGCTGTGGAGCGAAGTTTTCCCTGTTACAAAGAGCGATGGAACAGAGGTACAGAGTTTATTTATGTACCACGTGTGGGCCTGTGTAAGTATTTAATATTTAGAACTTTCTATATAAGGCCTTTATTTCACTTGGGTTATTATCAGATTTTTATTCTTCAATTTTCCTCCCATATTCTCTTCTTATTGACCTTTTCATCTTTGTAACTACACTCTCATTTGTTAGTCTGACTTGCATGTTTATAGTGCAGAAAAGATTAACATTTATCAACATTTTTTTTTTGTCATTAATCAAGAAAAAAATTCAAACTTCTAGTTCCAGCGTTTTAAATGTGATTATTGGCTGTTTTCCTGTTTTATGTCATTTGTGAATTGTATTTTTTGTGGGGTTTGATTGTTGTTCGACTAAATCAATCTGAAGGTTGTGGGAAACTGCACTGAGCATTGTATTATATTATTATTACATTTTATACATAAAACAATTAATAAATTAATTGAAAACAATATACTTATACTAATTATATTTTCTTATAATAGCTGTTTGTTGTTGCCCTGCATGTTAGACAGGGTTGCTCAAAAAAGAGAAACGATGAACATTAGACTTTAGTGAATGTAGAAACATACCTAATTTATTCTGTAATTTACTCAACATCTTACATTAATACAGATAATTTCATGTGTGATAAAAATAATTTTACACTGCTTTTGTTTTGATTTGTTTGTAATTTCAAGGATATATTAGATTTATACAAATAATTAAGCAGCTTTTCAACAGGTACATTTCTAACACTATTCTTTCTTGTCTGTGTTATGCTTTATTTTGTCCTGTAGGTGGCAGTGGTGTTGATGGACACTCAGGGAGCCTTTGATAATCAGTCCACCGTGAAGGACTGTGCCACCATCTTTGCCCTCAGCACCATGACCAGCTCAATACAGGTGACTGATTCTGACTCTCATTCAATCGTCTCTCATTATCCTCATTATAATTTATGCTTACACAGGTTCTCTTTTGTAGATCTACAATTTGTCACAGAACATACAAGAGGACGATCTGCAGCAGCTACAGGTCTGTTAGTACTTTGATGTTGTTAGTGAGGCATGAAGTTTAATACTATATGATTTAGTGTTAATTCATTTTTAAAACGTTGGATATGAAATATAAAGGTCTTAGAATAAGCTTTCCTGTGTCTGATAATATGGTGTTTCATTCATTTTACTACTTTACATCAGTTGCTCTTCAGATTTTTGCATCTTAGTACTAATTTTGCATCATGGCTGCCTCCTCACAGTTGTTCACAGAGTATGGTCGTCTCGCCATGGATGAGATCTTCCTGAAGCCCTTTCAGGTCAGTTTTGTTGCTGCTGTTTGATATGCATCTGATTGTTTTACTGGCTCTATTTTTTGTGGTAAAATAAAAACATGTTTTCTTGAATTTAAAACCTTCCTTTTCCTCCGACAGTCTCTGATGTTCCTAATCAGGGACTGGAGCTTTCCTTATGAATATGCATACGGCTTTAAAGGAGGCAGTGAGTTCCTGGATAAACGATTACAGGTACCAATTCTGTTGTTGATTTTTCAGAATAATAAATACACTTAGCTCAAATTAAATACTGAGTTTGAGATGTCGCCTTACTATTATTTGTTTGTTTGTGTACTGTTGTTTTTTAAAGGTTAAGGAGGCCCAACACGAGGAGCTGCAAACAGTGAGGGAGCACATTCATTCATGCTTCACCAAAATTTCCTGCTTCTTGTTACCTCACCCTGGGTTGAACGTTGCTACCAGCCCTTCTTTTAAGGGACAGCTTAATGGTAAGATCCCCCCCTTTTTTATACTATTCTTACTTATAAGGTTGGTATTTAGCAGAATGCCTGGTATACTGAGTGCTGTCCTCAGTTTTGATATATTTATTTTGTCAGATGTGGCCCCAGAGTTCAGAGAGCAGCTGAAGAGCCTGATTCCTAAACTGCTACACCCGGATCGTCTGGCTGAGAAAGAAATAAATGGAAACAAAGTCACTTGCCGGGGCCTGCTTGAGTTCTTCAAGGTAACATCTTCTCCTTCTGATTTTTCCTGCTAAACCCGAACAAGTTTTTCATATCTGATATTGTATTTTTTGTCTTACCAGGCTTACATCAAGATTTACCAGGGAGAAGACTTGCCACAGCCAAAGACAATGCTCATGGTACGTGCAGGACAAACACACGTTTTAAATAAGCTGTACAGTTTTCCTGTTAACTAGGGGATAACTAATATAATATACCTGTTTGTCTCACCAGGCTACAGCAGAGGCCAACAACCTGGCAGCCGTGGCAACAGCCAAAGATCAGTATTACAAGAAAATGGAGAAGGTGGGTTCACTTACGTGTGAAAAATCTAAAAGCTGTCGACAGAACAAGGATGGATAATCCTGTTATATTCTAACAACAAGTGACTGGTAATCTTCATGCAATTCTGACTTCAGACTTTCTATCATAAGTGTCTTTTCTCTTTGTTTTCCTTTCTAAGGTGTGTGGGGGAGACTTGCCCTATGTGTCTCCTGACTCTCTGGAGGAAAAGCATCACTTTAACTTCAGAGAGGCTCTTCATGCCTTCTCCTCGACCAAGAAGATGGGCGGACAAGAGTTTTGTGACCGTTACCAAACACAGCTGGAAAAGGAGCTGGAGGAAATGTGGCAGTCATTTAGCAAACACAATGAGGCAAGAGACCGTTCCATAAACAGGATATTATTTACAACTATTCTATTCTATTGTATAAACAGCTCTAACAGGCCTGTTTTAAAGAATTATATTGAATTAGAATAAACATTTGAATCATTTATTACGAAAACAAAACTGTTTTTTCACTTTAATTGACCGTAGTATGTTGTTATTGCATGCATCACTGTTTTTGGTAATAATATAATTTGAAAAAGGTTTTTAATAATCTGTTTTTCCTCTTTGCTGTTAAAGTCGAAAAATCTCTTCAGCGCCTTCCGGACACCTGCAGTGCTGTTTGTACTGGTGTGCTTCCTCTACGTGCTGTCAGGTGTGTTGCTCTTCATCGGCCTGTCCACCTTCGCCTTGGTGTGTGACTGTACTCTGGGTGTGGTCATGATGTCCATCCTGACGTGGGCCTTCATCCGCTACTCCGGTCGGTACCGGACTGTAGGAGGAGCCATCGACCAGGCAGCAGGTGTCGTCCTGGAGCAGGTGAGGATAACGGGGCTGGTGGCAGTGGTCAGTTACTGTTGGCTGATGTCTGTCTTATATGGCTTTCAGAGCTTTTAGTTATGTCAATATAACCTTTTATTTCAATGCATGGCCCCATAAAAGTCACTAGAAGGTGAAGAAGAACAAGAATGGCATCCAGCTATCCTAGGGTAGGAGAAATCAGGACTAAATGTTTAGTGCTAGTTTATCGAGTCATGTACGGTGTGACATTCAAATACTGGATATGAGCACAGTAATAGTTTCAGTTTAGAATGTGTTCACCACAATAGGTTTTTTTACTTTAATCATGTAACAACATCAGAAACACAAGGGAACACTTCTTGACAATAAAACTATAGCAATATATCAGCAATAGACCCTTCAAATTGTTCAGTAGACTACCAACAGTTTCACCCTTTGGAGTACGCAACATGTCGTCAGTCACGATTTATCTGTTGATCTCATGAAACAATCCACAGGCAGACAGACGGAGAAGTAATCAGCAACAATACTGTAAGATATAAATGATTAACTGTGTGCCTTAAAAAAATTAATTAAATTAAAAGTAGTAAATTAAACCTTGTTTCCACAAACTAAAAATAGGTCATTAAAAATGATCAATCATTAACGTTGAGAACTGAACTGAAATGAACCGTTTTATTGTGATACATTTTTCAGCTATGTCCCAGCCCTAGTTTGGATCTTGCTTTGTATAGAGCCAGTGAAACAAGAAGCCAATCAAAAGACTGTTCAACACATCCAGTAACTGTCTTAGATCACTGGCTTAGGTCGGGTCATTTCTGTCCTTTCAAGAATAGCAGCAGTAGTTGTTGTCCTCAGATAAAGGCCACTGGTCATGTGAGTGTTTGAAATCACAGGTTAACCATGTGGCTTTTCTGGTGTGTCCATAATCAATTTCCTTTTAGTAGTGACCTTTTTAAAGGCTCCTTTCTACTTCATTTGTCTTCAAAGCTTCATTATTGAGTAATGAGCCACAAGGTGGACAACGGACCCACAAAGAAGGTGGCGGACACACAGGCCTGATATTTTATTGCCCTTTGAAAGTTATTACAGGTAATGTGATAGGAAACAATTATCTACTTGTGGAAGTCCATTAATTTTACAGTCCTACATCTTCTGAATACATTTACAGTTTTAATCCCGTGTCAGTTCTTTTAGCTCTTACAGGGTTACATGCTAAATGTGTCAAAATGTCTCTCCTCTCTTACTGTTAAACCTAAAAATATGTATGTGACTCATCTTGAACTGTTACATAAATTTATCCAATCCAGTGTGATTTAGTGGGACTAGCTGACTTGCCAATCATATATAACTGTATTTGACTGTGTGGGTAGCTAGCAGAGCAATACAGTAGGAGGTGTGTGTTTGGATTTCAGCTGGTAAACCTGTGAAAACGAAGAATGTGGTTGAGGTCTGATTTGTTTATTTAACCCTTACGCTCCTCTTCATGGTCTAACAACGCAGGTGAAGGAAGGTGTTTGGAGGTCTGTAGTCCTCTGCAGCTCCATATCCAGTCACGCTAAGCCACACCTACTTAGACCGATCCTATAACATTGTTGTGATTCTGTAATAATTTTTGATAATTAATATGTAGAGCTTTAATTAAATAAAAAGCATTACATTAAAAATAATCTTCAACAGCACACAGATACAAAATGAAACTAACAGAGTCTAAAAGCCCTACCGTAAGCCCTCACTGGCATTCATTCTTAAGTTAATTCCTTTTTACTTACACAAAACCGGAAGTGGTTTTGAATTTATCGAACTCTTTCTGGCTGGTTTAAAAATGTGACGGGTGAGGTGGAGAGGTTGCAGCGAATTTAACCACAACACAGAATAACGGAAGTCAGCCAGCTTTGCAAGAAACACTTGATGATGATGATGATGATGATGATGATGATGATGATGATGATAGAGTAAGCAGTCATATTGTCTTCCCTTTTATGTGTTTTCAGGCCACCGTGGTGTTGAACAAGTCGAGGGGTACAAGCACTGTTGACCAGAAGAAATCCAGTTAAAGGACCTCTGAACCTTCATAATCTTGATGCAATGCAACCAGCGCACAACACAAGCACACATTCAGCACTAAAGCCTTATCATGCCACCCATTGGAACAAACATGCAGCTCAACCACATTGGCACAAGGTAAAAATATGATGCCAATTTACCAGCATCTGTATTATGCACGTTACTCTGCCTGTTAAAGTTCAGGCTCATAAAGGTGTCTGGATTCACTCAGTCAGGGATTGAAACCATCCCAATCCCTCTTATTGATCCTCGATGTCTTAAATTTACACTGCCGTCATTTTACAAGTTTACAATTGGTCTTAATAGACGAGTCAATGTTTACCTTTAAACTTAAAAACACTTAAATTTTCTATTTCAGCTGAATGCATCTTACTTGGCTGTATATTGTTCAGACAGGGTAATCAGGGTGCTTTTCAAACAGAGCTTCTGCATTATATCTTTAAATAATTACCTTTAAACTAAATTCTGGCTTTAAAGCTTTGACATTTATACATATTTCTTTGTGGCTATATTTTTTTACTTTGTGGCCTTAAAAACATTCCATTCTGTTCGATTTTGCTTTATATTTGATATAAATTAGCATTTTCCAGACGAGTGAACTGTCACTACTTTAAAAGGGGAAGAGGATACACAGTTTCTATATAGCACAGTAGGTTTTGTAAACTGCATGTAATGGTAGTTGAGTTGAATCTCGTATGTTTCAAGTGCTTTGCCGTTTATTCCTTGATGGAAATATGTTCAACTTTGTAGATTTTGATATACTCTTCTAGAAAAATGATATATATATAAAGTAGCTTAATTTCAGCAACATTTTCCAACTCCAAAGACATTAATGGAATACTCAAAGGTATTGTTGAACACCCAATATAATAAAACTAGCGACCAGTCAGCCAAAGAGTTAGCTTTAAATATTTGAATTATACTTTGGCCTTGTACTCTTATCACTTCAAACCTCAGTAAATATAAATTCAAATAAAGTCTGCAGTGTAAACAGGAGAGTTCTGTTCCTTCAAAAATTTAGAAATTACTACAATCAAAGTCAGAAAACACTGTTATACAGTGATAAACATGTAGCAGATAACAAGCAGAATGCACACTACTAATAAGCTGTAAAACCTGCCCCCCCCCCTTCTGCTTGTATATCCGTCTCGGTTTTCTGAGGTTTGCACCAATTGAACAGGTTTTGATCAAATTTGGTTGTTGTAAAATGAATCCTTCACACGTAGTCCTGTTGGTATATTATTTCCTGACGTAATGAGACCCTTCGTAGCCAGTGCTATCAGCTGCACTGTAAGAAAACACTCTGCGATATATCACTGATACAGTTTATAGAGTTCATATTGGTGATGTGTGTCTCTATTAAGGTTCTAATGTCATCTGAAGTGTAACTGTATAAGAAAATCTTGTCAATGTAAAACTTCTTCTTGAATATGACAAACTTTTTGGTAAAATAATCACTGTATTCGTGGCCATCAATCCAGCTTGAAACTATTGCGTGCCGGGGTTAGAGATTTACTTCCACATAATTCTTATGTAACATTTAATGAAACCATATTACAGGAAAGGAAAAATAATAAATTTGGGCCGACTTGTTGCATAGGTCCACGTTTACTTGCACCCATTTAATCAATCAGCTTTATTTTTTATTTTTTTCAAAAATCAGTCATACAGGGAATTTAAAAGGTGGATTTATTAGGTTTTAGTTTTCCTTTGTGTGGCCAAGGCAGGGTTTTCTCAGGCCAACCCAGAATGAATCAGACATTGGATTAAAGGACTCTGATTATTTGCAGGTGTGCCCTACATCTCTGAATATGATTAAATGCAGATTCTTTCAGGAAATATTGGATTGGCAGTGGAATGGCATGTAGTGTTGTAAAATAGACCTTTTGAAATGCCACAAGAGAGAAAGTATTATCTGCACTTCAGCATCTAACCATATATATTCCCTGTGCTCAAATACAGAGTAGAAACGCACAAAGCTGACTAACAGTGTCTTCATCTCAGTGATTGTTTGATACTGTAGGTATACGTTGTAAGAGTACGGGGCCAAAACAGAAGTGTAGAAATATGGAGGGAGAGAGATTTAATCAATCGATGATTTTTGACCGTGTTTTTGCACATTCCATGTCTGACACTTTCCACAAGAGGAGGAAACGTTAGGATGTTTTACAGGCACTTTCTATTGCACTTCCCCTCCTCTTTGGTGCTCTTTGCACACAGCTCGTTCCAAAAGTGGATAAATGCATGCAATATTGTAGTAACGGCTAATGTAATCATCTCCTGCAGGGCTACAGTGGCCGTGACTAGAGAAATGCTGTTTTATAAGGAATAAACAGAGCTTGAAACTGTTGATGTGCGTCTCCTGTCTGTTCCTTTTAACTGGCTTTTATTCTAAGAAGTGAACCAAAGGATGAAACTCAGTCATGTAGAGGTTGTACAAAACTGAAAAGAGGATATAGGATGTTTTACCACAGATCTACCAGCAGGTTCACCACTACAAACGCTTTGTGATAAAGCAGTGATTAAAAAACACTGAATATAACGTCTGATTTCACTAATATTTTAGAAAAATACTATGTTCTGTTTCAGATTTGAATATTTGACCCATTAGATGGCATCAGATTAAACTTTATTGTCATTGTACAAAGTAACAGTACAACAAAGAGCAGTTGAGCATCTAACCACATATTGTAAATGGTATTAAAGAGCATTTAGATACTATAAATATGAATTATTGTACAAAATGAATAATAAACCGGTGTAGTATGATGGGATTTCTAATAATAAACCAATATACAGTATGTAACAGTTATACATCATGAGTAAATGTAGCTACTGTATCAATAATCTATTTGTACATTGCAAACAATGAACCATTATACTGTATGTGTAATGATATGTGGGCTACAGCATGAATCCAGTAATCTATGACATAGACAATGAACCATTATACAGTATATAATGTAATATATGCAGCATGATCAATAACAGTACATAGTATTTACAGCAGGATGAGTAAAGCTACTGTCTGTAATGTATGTCAATGAGATCTTATATGAGGACGGTATTAACAACATGAGTTCATGTGTTTTTAATATAAAATAGTGTTGTCTTCATTGGCTGTTACACCACATAATGAATGTAGGTCAAATTTTAAAGGCTTTGTTTTTACAACCACGGCGCCGTTACTCTATATAACCCACAAACAAACAAACAAACAAACAAACAGCACTCTGAATGAACTATCCTCAGCTGTGACATTATAGCGGCAGCATCCTTTTATTCTCCGGAGAAATGTGTGTATTCAGCTCTCTGCTTGTTGTGTCATTCTTGTCCCTCATCTTCCGCCCCTCGCTTCCTACTGCCTGGAAGTCTGCCTCTCATCCTCACCCTGACCCTCCCTCCATCTCCCCCCTCTCTCTCTCTGTCTCTCTCTCTCTGTGTGTGTGTCTTTCTCTCTCCCCTCCGCGAGATGCCGTGTACAAAAATCTGCTACAGCGAATTTCGTGTCCCTTGTTTCCTTATATGGTGATCAGCGTCGCGGCCCTACCCTCCTCGCGCTGTGAGCGAGGCGCGTGCACTGACCGCGGCCGTTCACCGTTCGCTTCCATATTTGGAAGTGAGTCCAACAAAAACCGCACGAAGGGAGGAGGAGGAGGGGGAGGAGGAGGGAGGAGGAGGAGGAGGAGGAGGAGGGGGAGAGAGAGAGAGAGAGAGAGAGAGAGAGAGGAGGGAGGGATGGCGGAGAATTTCCTTCCAGCCTGAAACCCGCTTTGAGCCCGACGAGCTGCTGAATGTCGGTTAAAACACGACGGACTCACTTATCGATCACACATAACGCCATCGGGGTGATGCGTTCAGGTTCAGATACTGTAATCACTCAACAATGGTTACAAACACGTATTAAATATATATATTTTAATGGTTTTCTTTTTGGAAACAGGTTATAATAATAACCACTAAATAAAAAGGTGTGGCTGCAGAGCATCAACAAGCTTCACTCATCATCTTAATGGTAGTTGTGCGTCGAGCAGCACTATTAAATCTCTTTATATGTTTAACATCGGATGTTACGGGGATTTGTAGGTTTATTCAAATACTACACAAACACACATTCCCATGATGCTCTCCGCTAACCAGTCGGTGTGTTTGATTTGTTCACGCTGGCCTACCGCCGGCACAAAAACGAAATCAAACTATTAAAAGAAACATGCAAAATATCAAGAACAAGTATATAAAGAGAAATGAAGAGGCAAAACATTATTTCCCTCGAACGGATGTCGATTAGTGTCATGTTTAAAAACAGTGGTCTATAATACGTTAAAATGTACGTTAATTGTTGTCTCTGTTGTTACATCACCTGTTTAATTTATATATAAAAACATTAAACTAAAGATAATTAATCATTACATTGGACAAGCGGCGCTCTTTGTCTTTGGATATGTCGGTGAACAGTAAACACCCCGCAGCAACAACACCGCCGGGCGCTCGGGGTGAACACACAGGCGCTCCCGCTCGTGCACTACCCTCGAGCCAGGCTCGCGCTTATAGGCGCGTTCACGTTGTGTATTGAGTGTGTGAGCGAGACCAACACTTCATCATCACAGTCCAGTTTGTACCCGACGCTGACCTACCCCCAGCTACTGCAATGGTAGGTTGAACGGCGCTTTTACCCCACGTTATGTGTCCTCGCTGGTGTTACGGTCGAGTACAGACTTAATCTTGAGATGTGTGAGGTTTGGAGAAGGTTTGTGTTTGTTTTATACCGGATTGTCTTCGTTTTTAGCATCAAACGTAGTTAGCTGGTAAACCGGCGCTGTGCCGCCGCCGCCGCCGCAGCTAGCGCCGGTGCTAGTGAGCGAACCGCTCTGGTGTCGGAGCGGCTCACTAAACTTTAAAGGTTTTATATTCGTCACAGGCAGACAGCATCCACCGGGCGCTCATTTTATTTTATTTTTATATATAAGTGTTGATAATGTACCAAATAAAATACCTAACGGCCCAAAACAACTGGCGCCATTTCGCTCATCTCTCCGTGTTTCGCCGACAAACAGCTGAAAGGTTCTGGTCGGTGTCCGGACTCGGTTCCGCGGTGTTTTTCACGTTAATTTCACCTGTGCTCGTCGAGGCTCTCACAGAATAACAGTGCAGCGCTGGCAGGTGCAGCAGCGCCCCGGGGCTAACCAGCTCTCGGTATTGTTAGCCGAACTAGCTTCGTTAGCACAGACAGAAAATGACACCCATTATGGCGCTAGCTGTGATTTTGTCGTTCTTTGTCTGTACACGGCTCCGCAGCTAGCACTGTTACACACGCTGGTTGACTGCGATCTCCAGACCAGGAGACTGCTCACTCCCAGGGACACTACACGGACAATATGTATGTTTATTCCGAGTTGTACTGGGACACAAATGAATGAATTGACAACGATCGGTCCGATTGAGCCGAGCTTCGCCTTATATAGCAAGCTAGCGCACACATGTGCGTGTGCTGCATTCATGGCCCCACCCTGAATTTGGTGCAAAGACCATTTTGTTTGGTGCTGTATTACAACGAATCTGCCGTTAGATTCATTTTACCACCATTTGCTGTGTGATCATTCCTCCGTGTCTAAGTTGATGTGTCTCAGATATTTGAATGAATTGTGATATTATGTAACGGCGGTGTGGCTCCCGGTCGGATCCGCTAGCTGAAGCTAACGGGCCGCTGTCTCTGGATCTTCATGGTCGGTACTGCGCACCTTTTTTTTTTTTTTTTTTTTTTTTTAAGTTGCGCATCTAATTCGTACAGCCGTTTATACGCACTGCACGCTCATCACGTCATTAGACTACTATACAATACCAAGAGGGAATAATCTGTTTATTTAAAATACAGTCATCAAACATTAGAGAACCATAGATATACCGATACGAAGTATTATGCGTTATTTACAGCGCAACACAAAAACAATAATGTCACATAATGCATTTTATATAAGTTTTTGTTAACGTCCAGCTATGTGTGTATTGCCTTTTAATTGCTGAGTCTGAGCTGTGAACCGCTGCACACTTCCCCTTTGCTGTGTGTGTTTTTTTTGTGTCAGTTTGGGTATAATCCCATTAGGCCTGTGTGATAATAGTGTGAGGCCTGTAATCTTAACTGTTAATGTGTGTAAAGGAATTCAAGACTTAGACTGACCAGGTTTGTCTTGAGTCACTTGAACCTTGACTTCTGTTTTTTTTTTTTTTTTTTTTAAGTATCCATGGTTAAGATTAGATAAGGTGAGTCTAGTAATCGCCATAGTGATACTGGCTGCAACAACAAAATAAACAGAATATAAACTAGCTGCCAGATTAGGCCAAAGCAAGGCAGTGGGGAGGAAGAAGTAGAAACAAAGGTACTTTATTGACTTAAAAGATGTAATTTTGTGTTTGTGTGTGGAAAAGTCAGGCATGCAAAGCATATGGTCGTCATTTCTCAACGTCATCATAGAGGAAGAACACAGCGAGACAAATGTGTCATGTGCCATATCGTATGCAAAGGGGAAAATACAAATTTGTTAACCTCAGCAGATGTTTTGGAAACAGACAATGCTGCAATGAAAAGGTTGGGGTGGGGTAAATATCTGGTACAATTATTTTATTGATGGGATTAAGGAAGTGAGTACGGGTGTTTGCTGGTTAATTATTACTCTAAAATTCACGGTTATCTCATACAGGTCTTTTACGCCCTAAGTAAACATACGGTGCCTGCCTCTGCTGCTTTGCAGTGGGGTTCCTTTTCCGTCTTTCCTGCCCATTATTTCCTTTTCATTGTTGTCTCTTTTTTTTTTTTTTTTTTTAAGTTGCGCATCTAATTCGTACAGCCGTTTATACGCACTGCACGCTCATCACGTCATTAGACTACTATACAATACCAAGAGGGAATAATCTGTTTATTTAAAATACAGTCATCAAACATTAGAGAACCATAGATATACCGATACGAAGTATTATGCGTTATTTTCAGCGCAACACAAAAACAATAATGTCACATAATGCATTTTATATAAGTTTTTGTTAACGTCCAGCTATGTGTGTATTGCCTTTTTAATTGCTGAGTCTGAGCTGTGAACCGCTGCACACTTCCCCTTTGCTGTGTGTGTTTTTTTTGTGTCAGTTTGGGTATAATCCCATTAGGCCTGTGTGATAATAGTGTGAGGCCTGTAATCTTAACTGTTAATGTGTGTAAAGGAATTCAAGACTTAGACCGACCAGGTTTGTCTTGAGTCACTTGAACCTTGACTTCTGTTTTTTTTTTTTTTTTTTTTTTAAGTATCCATGGTTAAGATTAGATTAGGTGAGTCTAGTAATCGCCATAGTGATACTGGCTGCAACAACAAAATAAACAGAATATAAACTAGCTGCCAGATTAGGCCAAAGCAAGGCAGTGGGGAGGAAGAAGTAGAAACAAAGGTACTTTATTGACTTAAAAGATGTAATGTTGTGTTTGTGTGGAAAAGTCAGGCATGCAAAGCATATGGTCGTCATTTCTCAACGTCATCATAGAGGAAGAACACAGCGAGACAAATGTGTCATGTGCCATATCGTATGCAAAGGGGAAAATACAAATTTGTTAACCTCAGCAGATGTTTTGGAAACAGACAATGCTGCAATGAAAAGGTTGGGGTGGGGTAAATATCTGGTACAATTATTTTATTGATGGGATTAAGGAAGTGAGTACGGGTGTTTGCTGGTTAATTATTACTCTAAAATTCACGGTTATCTCATATAGGTCTTTTACGCCCTAAGTAAACATACGGTGCCTGCCTCTGCTGCTTTGCAGTGGGGTTCCTTTTCCGTCTTTCCTGCCCATTATTTCCTTTTCATTGTTGTCTCTTTTTTTTTTTTTTCCCACTGACACATTGCTGGTAGCTAGCAGTTTTCTTCCATCTTCTCCTGAGATTGCATTTTCCTGTGATGGAGTGCTTTAAACAGAGTCAGAAGACCTGATTGAGTTTATGCAGCAGCTGTGACTCTGCGATGTGACTTGTATTCTATATTTCTACAGAAGCCCCATTGTCTGTGACTGAACCCTGCACTGAAACACTTAATTCCTGACCGCACCCTCACCCACATGGTCATCTTTATGGTAGAGATACATGGCTGTTCCCTCTGCTCGCAGAAAGAGCGCAGATGTAATGTTTTATACCTTCTGCTCCCGTCACTGTCACAGAGACTTAGCTGACACACCTGTTAGCTGAACATATTAGTATTCATGTTCGAGGTGGACTTTGGACAAGCCATGCTGGCCACATATTTTATTTCTGTCCTTCAGTATTCTTACAGTCTGACCTCATGCATAATAAATGGGATTAAAAGGCTGTACTGACTGAATGATCAGTGTTGATTTCATTTGGACCGACGCTGCTGACAGTAATAATACAATTTGCATTACACAACATAAATCTTCCTCCACTATAACAGTTTGTCACAGCCACACCTTTTTATTTCAATACTTATCAGTCGGCCTCGTAAGAAGCATTCCTGCTCTGTGTGTGTGATAGTCACATGCCGCCCTCTCAGGCCCTCCTTCTGCTTCATCATGTCTGCATTTACTGTGCTTGAGTCGTCACTTCTAGCCTGTTAGACAATGGCAACTGTTCAAGCCCTCACTGTGGAGTAGGACTGCAGCTAACAATTATCCATTAGTTTGTTGATTATTTTCCAAATGAGTCATTTGGGTCAGTGTGTCACAATTTCCAAAAGCCCAAGTTTAGATGTGAAGTGCTTTTTTTATTTTTATTTTTTTTTTTGGTCTGGCCAGCAGTACAACACCAGGACGTATTTAGTATAATATTATGTGTCTGCTAAAACAGCAAATATTCACATTTGAGAAGGTAAAACCAGTGAGTTTGTCGTTTTTTTTTAAATCAAAAAGCGTCTTGAGCATTTAACAGATTAACAGTGTGTCATGATATTTGCCCAAATCAATCCATTGATTAAAGAACAATTCAGTGTTCTAGCAATGTTGCTCGATCCCCTGTAAAGTCTGTCAAATAACTATAATGCTATATTTAAAAAAACCAATCCGTATTAGTTTGGAAGAAAACATGGCCAGTAGCAGTGATGGCAGCTGCCATGTAAATCTGTAAATACATTAAACTCTGAGTTAACAGATTGTTCTCTCCGCAGGCCTCCGGTGTGAAAGTCACAGATGAAGTTATCGCAGTCTTCAATGACATGAAGGTGCGTAAGGCTCAGGCGAACGAGGATGAGAAGAGGAAGAGGAAGAAGGCCATTCTGTTCTGCATCAGCAAGGACCTCAAGAACATTGTTCTTGATGAAGACAAAGAGATTCTGCTGGGTGACTTGGGAACCACCGTCCAGGACCCATACCAGCACTTTGTGAAGATGCTGCCCCCAGACGACTGCCGCTACGCCCTGTATGACGCCACCTATGAGACCAAAGAAACAAAGAAGGAAGACCTGGTCTTTATCTTCTGGTGAGGGCAACCATTATCAGACATTAAATGGTTTATGACCAACCTTAAGACAACATTTGGCTTTAATCACTTTCTTCCTCCCACTCACAGGGCTCCAGAAAGTGCCCCCTTGAAGAGCAAGATGATCTATGCCAGCTCAAAAGATGCAATCAAGAGAAAATTTGAAGGTAAATAGGTGTGTGTGTGTGTGGATATAGAGATATATATATATATATATATATATATATATATATATTTAGTGGTTTTGTTGATGGATAAACACTTTTAGAATCACAAAGATGCAGGCGCAAACATTTTTACCTAAACATAAACTTCAACTATAACCACACCCAGTCCATACCTTAACTTAAAGCTGCACTGATCAGTATTTTTCTATTAACAATGAGTCAGATGACCGTGTATTGTGACAAACCCACCGAGAATTGTCAATCTGCAGTCGGTTTTAATGAGCATATTTTAGTTCACTGCTCATAGTGAGTGTTGTTTTCAGACACAGCAGCACAACTAGCTGGTGAATATTCGCTCTCCGTTTAGCCGCCTGTTGAGCTAAATGGAGAGTGAATATTCAACATAAATGTGTCAGGTGGCCAGAATCACAATGACAAATGAATGCTTACATAGCATCTGGTCTTTTGGATATTCAAATAGGAAATTGTTTGATTGTGTTAATAGATTCTTCCGCTGCCCCCTTGTGGACAAGACCATTAATACTGCTTAAAAACCCATCATTACATAAACCTAATCTTTCGCTTTAAATAGCCATCCCTAGTCTATTTCTCTCCTCTTATACCTACAGTTTTTTATTATTTATTTATATTTAATTGAATTAAGGTTTGAGCTGATAACAATAATTGATTAATAGGGAAAATTGTTTATTTCCTTTAAGTAAAAGTTTATACACGCTCTTTCCCGCCCTACAGTCATTCACCATAATACTGTACATTGTCATATTTGCGGTACTCAAAGGAAACGTATAAGGCTGCGAAAAGAAAGAGGGGATTTCTGCTTTCATTGAAGCAACAATAGTGGTATGCTTTGTACAGTTTGCCAGCGGTTCCATTGAAAGGTCAACGGAGCGGGTTTGTGTTTTTAAAGGCACAGTTATCAAAAACATGCGCCGTCATGTCCAGACATGGCGCAGTTGAACTGTCTGCAGTGGACAGGTGGCTCACAGGAGCAGACAGGAGCTTGGAATAAACATGTGCACACAAAAACTATATACTAAATAACCATAAAATGAATGCCTTTTATTTTCTATCCATATTCGCTAAAATGTTTTCAGAATCTAAAAGTGAGTTGGCCAGTGGGGGAAAATGTTACATTGAACAATAACACTGGTGTAGACTGAGTATTCACTTCTGTTTTCTAATTTTGTGATCTTGCACTCCTTTTCATTTAGTTGTGCATTGGTAGCCATTAGTTTGCTTCCATGCTTTATTTATATCAGAGCTAATGCTGCTTTTCACCAGAAAGTGTTCAGAATATACACCACAAAGTTGCTGCTCACCTACAAAACCTATTTGTATATTTGGATATGTAGGACAGACTCGTATGATCTAAGAACTTGTAATGCTTAATTAAAGATCCCCTTCAGACCTCTATTAAAACCATACAATACAAATGGTCTGTTTGGAACAGTAATGTGTCTGATATGTTTTTTTTTTTTTTTTTTTTTTTAAGTCTTCTACCCCATCATGTCTCCTACTTCACTGTAAAGTCCATTCTCAGTGTATGTGCACTGGTGGCTTCAAGTTTCTACATCACATTTGTAAACGTTGCGTACTGAACCAGATTTCTATCTGTCAATATTTTTTCATATGTTGATGATGATGATTATTATTATTATTATTATTATTATTATTATTATTATTATAATAAAGACAATCTAAATTACCACAAGAGAGGATTTTGTCCATTTATTACAATATTACAATGGCCTGCTGCTATTAGACAGTTTTCACCAGATAGACGTACTAAAAGGATATGTTGTTAATAAACGTGATTCAGTGAGATTTATTTTTGTCTGAAAACTTGTACAACATTGTAATTCTAACATGGTTTTTTTACTTTATTTCAGGTATTAAGCACGAGTGGCAGGTGAATGGTTTGGAAGACCTCAAAGACCGGCACACCCTGGCAGAAAAGCTTGGCGGCTCGTCAGTAGTCAGCCTGGAAGGATCCCCTATATAAATATTGCCCCTCCCTCTCCCCTCTCTCTGGCTTCGATCGAGGCCTTTCAGACACATCTGTTGGGTTTAGCTGTTCATTCCAGTGTGGTTTGGAGAAGGGCAAAAGCAGAACCAGCACCAATTGCAGGACTCTCTGGGTGGGATATTGTGGGTGGGTTTTGGGTCAAGTGACAGACAAAAAAATAAATAAATTCCACAAATGCAGACTGTCATTCCAGTTCACGCAACATAAAGAATATGAACAAAACACATACTAAGAAAAAAAAAAACATTAAGATACAACTGAGGAAGGATGATGATACTAAAATACACATATTGTTCATGTTTAAGGACGGGGTTTTGTTCTCTCCAGGTTCCATTTGAATGATTGCAGAGAAAGGGACAGGCAAAAAACTTTAGTTTTCCAACAATCAAATCCTGACAAATAATTGTTCCAACTACATTTATTTTTTTTGCCAAACTTCTAGTTAAGTTTTGTAAGTGTGTAGTTGAGACTAGGTGTAGTATGAACTAATTCACTCTTGATCGCACAAGATGTAACAAAACTTTCTCTGGGGGAACACGGTTAAATATATATATTTTTCTTTTGTTGTTTTGTTTTATCTTTCTTTTTAAACATGCAAATTCCAAAACATGTGTGATTCCTTTTTATTTCCAGTTCTGGGTCAGAAAACCATGGCATTTGATGTAGTAAACGGACAACATTCCTTGTACCTGTTTAAAAACCAGGATCCTCTTGATTTAAAATCTTTGGTGTTATGAAGGTCTGATGGGGAGCGATGTGTATATGAAAGACCAGCGGTCAGAGTTAAGACTGAATATTGAATGGTGGATGTTTTGTATCGTCTCCTTATCTCTAATAAAAAGCACTAAACTACTGATTTGGTTCTGCTCTTTTTTTCACTTTATTTTCCCTCACATGAAATCCCTATAACCTATTATAGCATTATGGTGGATGGTGCCCATTTTAAAGTCCTACATTTAAGGTTTTTACTGCACAAACTACCTGATTCAGATTAAATTATGGCTGAAACTAACTCATTTTTATCATCTACTAACTATTCTGACAGTAAAATGTCTAAAAATATTTTTTTAAATGCCGATCACAATGTCCTAAATGCAAAGTTTTAATATTTGAACTTGTTCAGTTCAGTTTCATGTAAGACTTCATCTGTTGGAACCAAACAAACTTGACATTTATTTCTTGTAATAACTAATTTGTTATTCAGCTCTGAAGTCCATTTAAACCAAACTGGTGTTCAGGTCCACCGATACTGCAGTGCCTGTTACGACCACACGGGGGTCCCCAACACCACTCCTGAAACCAAGTCAAGACGATTGACACAGACGCTGTTATAAATCTCTGTTTATTAAAATATATCAAGCATTTTTCAAAAAAATAAAATTAACATGTTTCTCCAGCCCACGTTGAGAAGAGCATACTGTCGGCTGAAACTATGTTGAAAGGCATCAGTGGTGTCCAATAAACTGCATGAACTGATCCTGGAAGAGCTTTAAAAATACCAAACAATCCTAAAAGATGGTTGTAAAGGCAAAATGTCAATAGACAGCCGTCATCCACAGAAGGAAAATAATCTGGTGCTACTGACACACTCTGTACACACACTTTCCCTCTTGTAAAAAAAAGGTTTATGTTAATACTATGGAAACACTGAGTGTGTTATAAATCTGACTGCGGGCATATTAAAGGATGCCGTGGTGATGATCTCACAGGCAGATTTGTTTAATAGGCCCAGAGGTTGAAGGGAGCAAATTAAACACAGGAGAGAAATAACTGGATCTGCTCTAGTGGTGAATCACTGAAGGGTGTTATTTATGGATTTAATCCTGTTTCACTCTTCTTTCTTTAGAGAAAATTAAACATTTCACCCTGTATTTGTTTCAGTCACTTTGTGCTATCTTGTGTTTTTCATACAACACTTTCAAAACTTCCTCCTTGTCTTTTAGTCCTGCTTTTGTAATGCTCAGTCCTGGACACAGTCTAGTCGGTTACCGTGCACCCAGTAACAGATCTGAGCAAACTTCAGAGGAGTAATGCGAACGGCCACATTGTAATCCCGGTTCTCCCCGTCTATCTCCAGCCACTGGTGTCCAGAGAAAATGCCGATGACCTTCCTTTCCCAGCGCTCCAAACTGTTGTCCCACACTCTTCCATACACTCCAGAACCACTGGCTCCGGGGCGGGCATCGCAGTGCTGGTATATCAGATCGCTGGACTCTTCTTCCACAGGACAGAACCTATACACCAGCTCCCCAGATCTGTCGCTGTCAAAACCAGAGAAGTGGATGCGGTTCCCTGCCAGGTCATCGGAGGAGGGAGCCACGGAGAGCCGCATGAAGGGACGTCTGTGAGGCCAACGCAGCTCCAGCAGGGCGTAATCGAAGTCCATGCTGATCTCCTGAGGGCCCTGGATCCAGCCCTTTGGTACACGGGTACGTTTCACTCTCACCCAGCGGACCAGAGGCTTCTTGGCAGACGTGAGGCCGGCTTTGGTGCTGTTGATGGACGGAGGAATCAGGAAGCCCACCCTGAGCTTCCGGGCCCCTTTCACATAATCCTTCCCATCGTGCACACAGTGGGCAGCCGTGAGGACGTGCTGCTGGGACACGAGAACACCGGTGCAGCCGGTGGAGATCCGCACAGCTGTGGAGAAAGGGTAATCCAACAGGAAGTCGTCACCTTGGATGTTGAAACGTCCGTCTGCTCCGTAGATCTGCCGCCTCACACGTTTGTGCCTGGGCCTCACTCTCAGTCCTCTCTTCGGTTGATCAGTATCCCCTTCAAGCTCCTCGTCGCCCTCCACATCTACAGTAGTGAGAGTGCGAGAGCCGTCGGCGTACAGAGTCTCAAAGGCCAGTTTCTCCGTGAGCTGCTCCTTCTGGGCCTCCTGCTCTCCTCTGTGGAAGCAGCTGGAGTTGCAGTGAGTGGTGAAGTCCAGCTGCGTCTGAGCGCTGAAGCGAGAGCGGATGAGAGGCGTCGGTGCGTGAGGGACCAGCGTGGGGACGTGGACCGGCGGATGGTGAGGAGGGTGCAGGAAGGACAGGGTGAGAGGGAGGAGGAGCTGGAGGAGCAGGAGCAGGTGAGTCAGGAGGGAGCTCTCACGTGGCGCCATCATGGAAAACACTGCAGTGACACAGAAAATAATCACATACATGAGAAAAACCGCTTATGCTTGAGAGATTGCATGAATTCCTACATGTTTGTCAAGAAAGCAATAGTGGAAAACATTTCCAAACAAACTAATCCCCCATAAATCTGGACTCTGTCACAGTTGATTGTTGATTGTAAATCACAGCCTATGCTAGTGAGGTCAGCTTGCCAAATCTAATGTTGCAACGTCTGTCTGAGTTTCATCTGGTGTGGTAAGGCAACAATGAACCACTTGTTCCTACAATATAGATTACTAGGAAAATAGGATTTCAGCCTAATGGACACAAGCATTTTAATATCTGCTTGGAACAAAAATTACAGACGAATTCTGAAGGAAGAAAAGTTTAATTAAAGATAAAGCAAAGCGGCCACAGACATAGCTGAGAAGCCAGAATAAAGTGGTCAATGCTCTAAAAGGGAAAGATATGCAGGGTGTGAATACTTGAAACATCATTTTAAAAATGTGTTCCTAGACATGATCTATGAGACATTCTTCATTACAAGCCGACTCAAAAGGTGAACAAGAGCTGTGGAGCTTACAGTAAAAACCCTCCAATCAAATATTTGTCGAAGCTCAGGGGTAAGAAGTTGTTTTCCATCAAACATTAACTACTTCCCAGTGTACATGGGGCTTTCAGGGCAGATTAGCAAGGACAAGGAGATACTTGATCCCTTGTAAAGGCTGTGGACCCTGAGGCACTCATTGCACGATGAGAGCAGGTGTGTAAAAAGTGAAAAGAAACAAGTCAAGGCACGGCGACGAAACAGAGCATTATCCCTAACAAAGGACAGGGTGGGGCCTGTCCACACACCTATGTGCTGTTTTATATGAAGCTACAAAGGAGGCAGAGTTACAAAAAGGAGTTGCTGTAAGCAGGGAAAGTACAAATTTCCTTCAATGTTGGCGTGTCAGATACATGACAGCTGTGGCAGTTACAGAGGATCCTAAGTGGTAAATTGGCTGATGAAGCAGTGTATCAACCAGGCTGTGTTTGGTGATGTAAAGCCAAGCAGTAACTGTTTTCAGAGCCCAGTTCAGTGTTGAAACACATTGTTTGACTCTTAAGACAAAACTGTCAAGCTCTCAACCCAAAAACCACAGCTCTTCCTCAGGGTTTAATGGCTCGTTCTGGTGGAAACCACAGGGAAATGATCCAGAAGACATCCCTGTGCAAAAGTGACAACACATAACTCGAGGCAAGATGGTGGCAGAGTTTGGATTTTTGGGATGCCGCAGTAACTTTAAGATTATGGTGCATTCTTGGAAAGCAAAAAGTAGTGCAAATGAATATTTCTACAGTTATTGTATTGCATATATATAAGGGGAAATATAGAAACATTACTCTTCAGTAACACATGGAAGGAATCCAGAACCAAAGTCTGAAGCCTATAAAAAACCCTGTTCAGCATCTAAATGTGATCTTATCTTATCTGATACACATATACAACAGAGTCAACTTAAGTTCAGCTGCCAATAACATCTGCACCCCCCAGTTCCCCTTATATATTAACAGGGAAGATGGTTGAGACAAAGAAACAGTATAAAACAGACTGAGAGAAAACAACTAAACCACCTAAAACCTCATACAGAGTTCACATTTAATATTTGACCAAGTAACATTTGTCCTGAATAATCATCTGGATACATGAGGCTGTAAAAGCTCTTACCTTTATTCATGCAAAGACTTGCAAATACAGCAGTGGTGGTCTGTCCCAACCCCCCCTTCCCTGTGGGATGCCTGCAGTGACACTTCCCAATCTAAAGATAATACATTACCTCCTGATTTAGAGATCGATGGTCCGTGTTTACATCCCACTCAGGTTTTCCTCCCCATCAGACGAGTCCTTCAGGATCATTTCCCAGCTTTTCCTCCTCATCCCCAGTGACAGGCAGGTAGTTTCTCCCTCCTCTCTCTCTCTCTATCTACCTCCGTGCTTGTCCTCCAGAAGGAAAACTCTAGCTCTTGCTTTAACTTACAGCCTGTACAAATAAAGCGCCATGTGCTGAGTCGCTCTGGATGTCCGGACGATCAGCGCCTCTTCTGCAACCTGCACAGCTCACACAGAGAGCCACAAATAAAAGTCTCTGGTCTGAAAAGAAAGTGTTGACTCTCTCTGAAGCGTCCTGCCTCGCAGTCCTAACGCCCCGCCTCCGCCCGTCTGAGGGTGCACAGTAACAGTGTGATAAAAGCCCTCACTGCTTATTCTCACCCTTTATACTTCATACTGTATTTTAACATACAGGCTTCAAAACGAGTGGCCAAAGTCAGACTTTACACCAATTACAGACAGAGAGATATTTACGAAAATGTTTGTGCATAAATAAGTTTGTTAGGCTAAATCATCTACAGCCATGGTAACTGTCATTTGGTTATGTATTTTTTGAATATAATTTTTAACAATCATACAGACTTACTAAGCGTGTTTTCTTGTCCCTGAGGCTTGGCCATAGTTCTATCAGACAATTTATGTAACAATTTACCATTTTCTTTACAGAAGTGAACCAAACACTGATTTATAGGCCTGCTATGTATATTTTTTAAGTTTTCCAGCAAGCCTTAAACTCAAGAAGGCTTCGCAACCCCCAGTGAAGCTTTGGCGACTTTTTTTTGCTAAGATTTTGCTAATTAGCACTGAACACAGAGTACAGCTGGGGCTGATGGGAATGTTGTAATCTATAATGTAGGTATTTGGTCATGGAAAAAAT